CGGCGTTGCACCACCAAATCTTCTCTGGTCCGTCTCCTGCTGGCGTTGACTTCGGGTACGAACACCCTCCGTTTCCTCCTTAGGTAAAAGCGGCATGATTTAATCCCACTTCTGACACCAATTGTTACGAGCTTAGGGTTCGTGAAAATAAAAACTGCCGATTTAATTAACAAAATATACTCTTTAATTCACTTTACTTAAAAGACACTAATAATTAATCACACTGATTCACTTTATTTCGCTCCGAAGCTTCGCTTGTCTCGCCAAATTCAATATTAGCCCGATCGTGGTATGCTGCGGGTTTAAATACACTTTGACACCGAAACATCCATAATATTCCCGTAGATACGGGCGCCGACCGACCAGACGCAGAAAGTTCGAGTGTAGGGCTTCTAGAAAGCTTAGTTCATCAATTGGATACTAGATGGCGCTGTCCGTTAAAAGATTAGTCATGTCATTTTCTGGAAAGCTCTCCTCGCTCTATTACCCGACACTAGATGGCGCTAGTGCCAGACGTCAACTTAGGTGCGCAACAATATCATTGATATGCAGAAGACACAGCGTTGGTGATAGCACGCAGCCTTGTGGAACACCGGCGTTAATGGGCGTGTAATCGGAACATGCATCGTCTACTACGGCCTTGATGCTACGATCTGCAAGATATCAAGTGATCCAATTGCATAATTTTTCGGAAAGCCTATAGGAAAGAAACTTCGTAAGAAGCGCTTTGTGCCAAACCCGATTGAAGGCCTTCGCTATGTCAAATTTAACGGCCAACGAGTCCAGAATGCATGTGTGCGCCAACACTGCCGATGTGCTCTGACTTTGCCTTATCAATGGCACTTTTTAAGGACCTGGAGGCGGAATCATACTTTTTATTTTTATTTTATAGGATAGGGTGACAAACGAGCCCACAGTCCACCCGATGGTAAGTGGTTGCTGCGGCCCATAGACATCTACATCTATCCTCGATTACAAATCAAAATGCAGATGCGTCACCCGTGAGTTCTAAGATGGAATGCCTCGTTTCCAGTAAAAAGGGTCTCCGATTCTCTACACTCACCATACGAAACACAGCAGCATTAAGCATAGTAGCTTAATGCTGCTGTGTTTAGTATGGTGAGTGTTTGAGAGTTTACGTTGGTGTTCTGTGAGAGCGTGGTCCTTTCCCGGTCGAGCCGACCCATTCGTGCTACAACTGTACTACTAATATAACTGCAGCATGGCACATTCGTAATCGAGGATAGATGTAGATGTAGATGTGTAGATGGGCCACAGCAACCACTTACCATCAGGTGGACTGTGTGCTCGTTTGTCACCCAATCTTATAAAAAAATATTTTTTAATCGGTACTTACAGTTAATTACCATATTTTTTATTATAAAAATATTTGCCGCAACGGCCTTGACCGAGCTTATCTCGAGTCAATAATTTCAGGCAGTACATACTTTTCCTTTTTTTCACAAATGTTAAGTTAAGCAGTTAAGCAGTTTACAAACGTACTCGTAAATTGCACAAGGACAAACATCCAGATCCGGATCAGTTATTTGTAGGCCATACAAATACTTGTTCCGCTACACATAAATAAAAACTTGTAAAAAAACGTATAACTTCTTTTTAAGAGCGCTGATGTTTACATCCCGAGGCGTTAATGCGTCAGCACAGGTCCGGTAGCACTGCTACTTATACCGTAATGCAATTTTACAGGAGTGACCAAACCATCCTGAGTTCTGCCTTCTATAGGCACCACAGATGATGGAATAAATAATTCCATTCCCTGAAGTACCACATTAGCGACCAAATCAGCAACAACGTTGGGATCGTCCGGCGAGAAGCAAACACACGCTCAAAGGTAGGATACAACAAGGACCGCATCCTGTCTCAATCGGCCTACCTGTAACGCCAAACACGGCGGCAACCCGCAGAACGCCACCGCAATGGCAGTGTGAGTGGCATCGTACTCCAGATCAGACAATGATCCAAAAAGCCAAGAGGGGCCTCGACGGAGACCTGATATCTGTTCGGATGAGAGGTCAGCAGAAGGCCTAACAGGGAAGGTACATGATCCTCCACATCTGGTATTCGCGTAGGCGAAGTAACCAGTTTTGTCAGACAGCGTTAAAATCATTTGGACGTGATCGGTAAGTCAGTCTGTATCGGCATTACCGCTATTGGACCTATAGAGGCACCCGTAGACGCGGGGATAGTTGTCGCTGTCTACGCGCAGCCATAGGATGGACAGGTCCGTACTTTCAAGACTGCCGAGGCGTCGAAGATGTCCGCTCTGACGCATACGCAAACTCCAGCTTGGGGCACAAAGGAATGTTCTAATTGTTACCCCAGGTAGGAGAGATACGAAGTATCAACCGGAGCAGGCACTTGTTAGAAAGAGCAATGCCGGCTTCGCCGTCTCCAGATGGTAGTGGACGGTGTTAAGGTTTGCATGAAGTCCCCTGATGTTGCAGAAATTCACGGATAGCGTGGTAAGGGTCGCCTTTGTCTTATTGCTTACCATGTTTAATAGCCAGGGTTAATAGGGCCTCCGGCCACCTGCAATTACCAGGTGAAACGCAGAAGTAAACTTATACTTCACGCTGGTATTCTGTATAATACCATAACAATAGCCATGTGATCGCGTGTTCTCCTTATATAATAAAAAAACATATTATGTAAATACTTCGATTGATAAGGGATGTAAAAGTAATAATAAGGTCAAAATTAAACAATATTTTACTAATCTAAATAGCTTTTCTTTATTTAGTCTTTTACAAACAAAAAATGTTTTAAGCGATTTTATATCCATGTATAATCAACTACATCAACAAATCTCAGAAATTTATTTTAAAATTCGTCCTAGTTTGTAGTAAGAATATAGGACGACATTACAGTTAGTTAGTTAACTATCGACACAAAAATCGTCACATCGAAATTATTTGCCACACGGTATGGTGACAGTATACATTCTTCGATACTCAAACTTGGATGTACTTGAGCTTGTGTGTCTAATGATGTTGAATATCCTTACCATTAGAACGGTTTTTTATCCTTTGATTTGTCATGTTCCCATTTACGTACTAAAAGTACTATGAGTACTGCCATCAAAATAAGTACTTAAATTAGCATCTAGATTTTCTTTAAAATGCAATGCAACAAAATAAAGGCTTCATATATTTAAGAAATTTGTAACAAAATTTGCAACTTTTTATCAGTTTATACAAAATGGTAAATAATGACTTAATTTAAAGTAAAACTACTCTTCTTTTACTTGCTACGGTATCCGGCGAGTTCGTATTTTGCATATGAATTTCAACCAGCTGTCTCACTGAGTTAGTTATATCAACGTTTGTATGTACAATTAACTCAAAAATTTTCATTTGTTCGAGAACTTTCCAATCATTTCGGTGTTTCACAGCAACATTAAAAAGTTCGTACATAACATCTTTCGACTTCCTTAGCATGCTCAAAATAAAACCAACTTTGTAAGAGAGGTCGTCCTTAAATTTCTCTTTTAAGGTATCAATAGTTTTCATTTTTGATTTCGCATCGTGCATAGTTTGCTTTACAAGCAGTGCTATTTTATTTTTAAGATTTTGATCTTTTTCCTTTTCTAATTGGTCATTCTGTCGGAAAACTGGGTGGGAAGTAACTATCATAAATCTTCTTTTACGGTCTTTTGTAGTAGTTCTAACCGGGGGATATGCCCTAGATGTTTCGTCAGTTACTTCAGTAGTATTAGAAATTGTTGCATTTGTTATTTCTATTTCATGATTAATTTGTTTTACGTCAATTAATTTTATTCCAGTGCAGTTGTAAATGCTAGCTATTGTGTCTACAAATAATTCAACAGTGTGAGAGGAAATTTTATAGATGTTAAAACGTTGTAAACGCATAAATTTTAGATTACCGTAAATATATTGTTGTTCTCGGTAAATTACTTACACATGTCATCAATTTTGCAATAGCGGCACATGAGCAAAGAAATTTCCCTACTCATGGAATAGCGGTATAATACATTTATACAGAATAGCGTAGGATACTCCGCCTTTAATTTTCAGAACCTGAGTTCGATTCCTAATTTTGGGGAAATTAGGAATCGATCACATGCTGTGCGATAAAGGCAAAGTTCATAAGAAAACTTGCAGGATTAAGAACTTTAAAAAATTTAACAAGTATTAAGGCAATAAATCAAAATAAAATAGAATTTTCTATGCAGAAATTCTAAAACATTTTTAAAGTTTAAGTGCTACAACGTTAGATCATAAATTACTTTCACACTTTTTTTAACACAGGGTATGGTTTACTTTTCATCACACACAATATAACTTTCGAAATATATTGAATAATTTATATAATTACCTTTATGTAAGTACATACTTACAATATATAGACATAATAATAAATAACCGCTGCATTTTATTCTTGCTACTTTTTTTAAAACATGTTGCATTAAATTGCGTAAATTACAGTAAGTTGCGTGGATGTAGATAAAGAATTTACCTGCATAAATGTTTATTGGAACCTGTTATATTCGTCATAATATCATAAACATTTAATGTTTCTGCAAAGAACATTAAACGCAGTCATAAATCTTTCTTTATGTAATTAAATCTCACGCACGCAAATCATGCGCACGTTTTTTTAATCCCTTTTTTATTTTTAATTTGCTACATCACCAGGGTCCTCAGTCATACTTCTTAATATTATTTGTCCTCGTGTCTTTGATATTTCTATTTCTTAACCATAAGTAGCTATCAATTTCGATCTTATTACTGCCCCTTTGATCTGAGTGTGTATTTAGAGCTTTATCACACTGGTGATTTGCAAGCGAGTTCAAAGCGAGGCGAGTGCGTCGCGAGCTAGACTCGTGTTCGCGGCGAGCGTGCGGCGAGTCCACCACGAAGGCACCGCGCCACAATATAAACAACAGATCACACAAATAGCGCCGTATCCATTGTATTAACGACCTTTCAACGATGATCCTCAACGATGCTCTATTAAAGAAAAGACACCGTGCCGCAGAATATTAGCGTGCTCGTCACGCGCTCGCTGCGACGTCGCGGCGAGCTCGCGGTAAGCTGGCTGTGCAGTCGCCTCGCTTTCAACTCGTTTGCAAATCACCAGTGTGATAACGCCCTTATTGTGATAATCCGTCGTACGCCTATCTATAAAATTATGCCTATCTTATATCTGATCCTAACTCATTTCTAGAGTTGAATTATAGTGTAAGGTAAAATTGTTCTTTCTTTGTATAAATATTACACAGTGACTGATAAGATTAGTTCGCAGGTAGGCTTAGGTTCAAAGTAGTAAGTAAAGTAAAGTTAGTAACAAACTCAACATGTATTGACTCAAAAAGCAACAATTTGAAATGATGCACAAATGTTTATTAGTACTAGAATTTGAATACAGTAAAGAGATAAGATCGGAGATAGGATAGAGGCCAATATCACGACGAGACGGATAGTCCCAATACAAATAGACTCTATAATGAACAATTTGAGATCTTGCGCAAATTTTCACTTAGACGTAGGTGTCGTAAGTGGGGATAGAGGGAAACTGAAACAGGATATAGGCAGCAGCATTGTTCTTTCGCTATCCCGCCTTGCCAGCGTGGCAACTATAGCAAAAGCCTACAAGACAATCTAAAGGGGAGGCCAATTAAGGCGCTACTCCTAGCGAACGACCTGCAGCATTCGGTTCTATACATTCCACGCGCTCTCTCTACAATAATATATCGCGTAAGAAATTCGCCCAAATTTTAAAATATTTTCTTTTTAAAATCGAATATTTATCTTTTGAAAAAATTAAGCAGATCAAAATGTTCATTAATAAATTGCCTATCCATTAGTGGCAATCTTAAAATAAAAAGTTTGGAAAATCCAAAAGTGCACGCCTTATAATCTCATTTGATTATATAAAAGAAAAATATCTCTTTTTCTATATTTGAGACTAACGAAGAATTTTTTTGTAGAAAAGTACCAGTTGTTTTTTTTTTTAATTTTCATTAATTACAATTAAACGAGAACAAATTACCTACCTTACCATAATTATTATATTAAGATTTTTTAAAGGAACCTGTGCGTTGAGAATTGAGATTCTAAACCTAATAAAAAAGAATTATTTTGATACATTAATTCTAACGACTACGGTTAATACAGACTTCCTGGCACCCTCGATAATTTTTTTTAAATAAGTTTGTTTTTACACTAAATACAAAAAATTACTTTTAAAAATAATAGAAACATGAAAACGAGTGATTTTTCTCGATATATGTGTATTTTTATTATTCTTAAAGTGCGGTAGTTAAAAAATGAAGACATTTTTAGCTCAGTAAATTACTGGCTTTCCTGTTAGCGTATTTTAATAATTTATATTGCTGTAACTAACATGGTGGGTAATTAATTATTTTCATCCTATGAATTCTGCGGATACATTAATGTATTAGATTATGTCTAGTTATTTATTTTTGCTTATATTTATAACTAGAATGTAAAACTGTTTAAGATAATTATAAGAAATATAAATAATGTTTTATAATGTAAAAACTTACGGCTTAATATCCAATTTTATAAAAACTTGTAACGGAAACCACACAAGCAACGCCATCTGTAGTTTAGCACTGTTAAATTACAAGCCTATAAAAGACAGATGTCATCGGTTTGAGCGGCAGCTACAAAGCGGAGAGCGGCAGTCTTCCTGAAACTGTTGAGTAGAGAATACGTAAATGGAAGATAAATTGTGAGTTAATAATAATTATTGTTATACCTTGTTACTTGTTATTTGTGTGTTTAAAATGTACATTGTTATTATAATGAATATCTATAACCTTGTTTAGATTTATGATATTTTATGCATTTAATAAAATACATGATGTTACTTACGTATTAAGCGCCATTAGGTGAGAGTAGAACACAACCTCAACGCTTCGCTTATGAGACGTGTAATAATGTTTACTTTATGAGGAGATGTATGTCATCAATAATTTTTATATAATAATTTTTTATTATTAATAATTAATTCGCATTTCTGTGGTTTAGTTGTAGGAAGATTCATCAACTATTCACTCCTTTAAAAAAAAACTGGAATTGGCTATTATGGAATAAAGATTGTGTAGAAATGTAATAGGTTTTTTATTAGTTGATATATCATTTTAATAAGAAGTAGATAGCTCCTAAAAACGTCAGAAATAACGACTAGCGCTGCATTTTACACAAACACGCACCTGAAGGGAATTGATAAATACTACTAAATTCATCAATGCCATTAATTATTCATTCAAAAAAGACTGTCGAAGACCACTGCTGAACATACCCAGGGGGGGGGGGGTGTCACTCCATAGGTTACCTGATAAAGGGGATATTTGCCACAGTTACCACACTTGGTGGGCAGGTTGGTAACCGCAGTTTATTTTATTTTCTAGTCGTTATTAGGAAGACGCTGTTGCCTTTGTATTTCTCTGTCTCACCTCTTGCGACACCCACGGGACGATATGGGGTACTGGATATTCTTACACGCTACTACACGTTCTATTACTCAAACTTGCTAATCAAAATACACAGGAACCAGCCAACTACGAGTTCTCCTACAAAGTGAGCGACTACGAGAGCGGAAGGGACTTTGGCCACGCGGAAAACCGGCACGACGATAAAGCAGAAGGGACGTACTTTGTCGTACTTCCTGATGAAACCAAACAGGTACGTTGAAATCATCTTCATCAGCTCTACTGCTTTGGAACCCGAGTAAATTCCACCTATCTATTTCTGCAAACACAAATGCGAATACTTTTATATTTTAGTGTAGTAAGACACACTGAAATACAATATATAAGTTTTCACAGTACGCGAGCAATTTTAAGCGTTGATTTACCACGTGCTCCACGGTGAAGGAAAACATCGTGAGGTAACCTGCATGTCTGAGAAACAAAAAAAATATTTCGAAGACGTGTAAAGTTCTCTCATTGCTCTTACAGCCTATATACGACCCACTACATAGGACTTATGTAGGCTGTAACTTTAACTTTATAGTAAGACAGTCGGCATTGTAAGAGGTTGTGAATGTTAATTCTTTCTTTATGGGAACAAGACATTCCATCTTAGTCCTTAGGAGTGATAATGCATCTGCGTTATATCACCGGATACAGATGTATATGTCTATGGGCTACAGCACCCACTTGCCATCAGGTGGAACCTGTGCTCGTTTGTCACCATTCTTCTATAAAAAATTGAATTGAAAAACAAACTCGCAGTCCACCTGATGGAACGTTGCAGGAATCAGGCGTTCACCTGCAACCAACATAAATAAACAATTGGCCTCAACGAGGACTAAGATGGAATACCTCATGGCCTGTTATTATACTTGGTTTCTTCTACATTTCTCTACATCTCTTATACACTTCAGATGTGGATGATAATAACCCCTGGGTAGGGTGATCGCTACCAAGCTGATTCTAATTTATTGTGTGTTAATTGTAACATACATGATTGTAAGCTGTTATTTAAAAAAAAATCCCGCTGGGTTTCTTGCTGGTTCTTCCCAGGATAGAGGTTTTTTTTCCGAATCAGTGGTAAATTAAAAAAAGTGACTTTCAATAAGTATTATTTATAATCTATATTGAATAAAAAAAGTTCTGTTTCTGTTTTTGATCTCTTACTTTTTATCCTTGGACTACAGTAGCTAGTCGCTATAATTTGTCAACAAACGAAAGTGTACAAACAAGTATATTTTTTTAAACTTTGTCCTAAGAAATTAATATACCACGGTTTTCACCTACAATTTCTGATTCTGAGCTATGATCAAAATTTCAAGTCCCTAGCCCATCGGGAAGTGTTCGAAATTTGAATTGCAAGATTCCACCCGGAACGGCAGAAAAATTAGAAAGTGACATGATGAAAACGTGGTAAACACATTTTCATGGCATGTATTCTGTTCTTTCCAGGTGGTAGAGTACGAGGCTGATGAAGATGTATTCAAGCCAAGGATCTCGGTAATACCAGCAGACACCAGCTGCATCTAGCCGCGCAGGTGACGTGTCTTATTGACACAACTCCATAATCCTATAGAAAAGACGACACACTATTGTAAAATTTAATATTTATATAATTTAAAACCGGCAATATGAAATAATGGAATAAAAAATAAATAAATTAGAAATGTGTTTTACTCGTAATTGGTTCTATAATAAAAGAATATATTATTATAATCACATTTTCAAATATTCTTTAAAGTTACAGCCTGTATACGTCTCACAGCTGGACACAGGCCTCCTCTCATTTCTGAGAAGGTTACGTAGATAAGCATGTCTTACCCAGTTATTTTATTATGATATATGAGATGTTTAGAGATACTTAGTAATCAACCAAAACATATTAAAACAAAGTCTTGACGCTGCTCCTGTCTGTCCATCTCAATCAATCATCAAAGTTCAAAAACTTTATTAAACTAAGTTTGTATATATATTATAAGGAATTTATGGATGATAATACCCCTGGGTAAGGTGATCGCTACCAAGCTATTTCTAATTTGTTATGTGTTATTATTTGTAACATACATGATTGTAAGGTATTATTTTTAAAAAAATCCCCTGAGTTTCTTGCTGGTTCTCCCCAAGACAGTAGTTTTTCCGTACCAGTGGTAAATTAAAAAAAAAGTGGTTTTCAATAAGTATTATTTATAATCTATATTGAATAAAAAGTTTCTCTTTCTGTACCACTATTAATAGAATACTTTAGAAATTATGAGTTACAGTAATAAATAGAGTTCCATTATATTTTGTTTTTTGTAATACAACCAACTTTAAAACATATTTCTTACCGTGTGTTGGTACCTAATATTATAAATAATATAAATGGACATACTATCCCTTAGTCATCTTGGCTTTAATCATAATACTTTAATGGTATTTGGAATTTACACTCACAATCAATCAAAACATGTCAAAAGTAGAATCCATACGACATTTATGCACAGACAGGCACTATATTTTGCCGGAATTAGTGAAAAGAATTTCGATCGATCTTAAAGTACCTATAAATGCTGAATATACCTACAACTTAGTTTTATATGTACTATACCCATTTTAACTTATAATACCGGTGAAAACTACTAGAAAATCGCTTTCAGTTTGTTTTTAGGATGTTGTTAGATTCATAATATTAATTAAATTTTTTTTGCAATTGTTAATTTCTCAGGACTCCGTTTAGATGCAGTAAAACTAATAACACTATTGTAATCTATAGATTATAAGGACCAAATCAACATGCATTTCATTAAAAATCATTAAAATTTGTGCTGGGCCCATTCTCCAAACAAAAATAGACATGTGTCAATCACGCATGATTCGTTCGTTTGAGCTGGTACACTTAAAAGTATTGATGGTTCATTCATTTGTTTTTGAATGTACCAGTACAACCAATCACAAACAATTGACGGTACCTTTTTAACCCGCGATTTGTATTAATTGTGAATGAACCTAAAACCAACCGAATCCCGAATGATCTGAATAAACAGGCCAATCGAATAAACAATGCAGACTGCAGAGTATTTATTATTTAAGGATTTTTTATTATAATATTGTTACCTAAATTAAAAATTATTTTACGTTTTATTATATTTATTTGTTAAGTCTATGAGTTAAAAATATCATTTCGTAGAGTTTACTAAATATAAAACTTCAAAAGATTTCATGGCAAAAGATTTATTTAATATGATAATTTCTATCCACCTTATATAAGTATAAAATAGGTAAAAGTTTAATTTTCTTGCAAATAAATGTTACAATCCCTATTTTTAGACATGTAAAGTAAGATGAAATTGTGTATTGTTAGGAATGAAATTTAAAAATAAACAAATTTATTAAATATTTAAAATAATAAGGTTACCAATCAAAATCAAATCAATTGAATCACTTAAGGTTTTTGTATTTATGGCATCTAGCGTCGATTATACTTACCACCTTGAAGGTCAATAAGTTTTAGTTCGATAAAATGACTTTATTACCTATAGCATGTAGTAGATGGCGCTATTATAAATCTCAAATAGAAAATTTCCGGTTCCCAATGGATCTCACAGACTCACAGAGTACTGGAGCCTGAAATGATCCATTTGAATGATCGATCGGAATATACGATCGATCATTCAAATGGATACGCGTGACAAAATGTACTAGAATGATTCGGTCAATAGAAATGAATGATTGACACATGTCTAAAGGAAAAATTATGTGCGTTTTACTGTATTAACAAAACTTTTACACACTATAGACAGACAATAGTTTTCACTTGATTATTTTGGGTGAGCCTTTTTTACTTTATTAGAATATCTCGATTTAGGTCTTATCTTACATGGAATGGCGTTGGTGGTGTGATTATACGCATTGGTTTTTCTGTTAAACTATCGAATATTTCTAGAACTGGATCGTTGTAACATCGCAATTCTATCAGTTCAGTTGTAATTATTTCATTAATGATGCCGGCTGCTTTCATTATATCATTGACATTTGGGGCCCAAAAATGGTATTTACCGTAAACGTGAGCATAGCTTACTACCAAGTTACCAACTAAACTCGCAACGTAATTGATTTTGATAAGCAGGATTGTTTTGGTTCCCTTTAATCTCGTCGTTACTCGTTGCCCAGACTGAATATTTATAAAACCATCCTTTGAAACGCCATGTGATTGAGATGCGTTTTGTAAATAATCCTTTCTCCATCGATTATGGTACGATACTGCTCGTCCGTTAAAGTTATAATCGATATCAAAGAAAATTTCATCTTAGGGAAAACCTTCTTCGGCCCAAAATGAAGATATTGTGTTTTCTATTATTTCAAATATCGAAACTTTTGATTGAATTGTGTTTGTTGTGTTGTTTATATGTTCATGTGTTTTTATGATAGTATTTACATTTATTACATCAACTACTTCTGCATTTTTTACTTGTAAGCTTCTTTCGATTTCCTTCCATTTGTATTTTTGGTATAAATTACTATAGGGCGTGGGATCTTTCATAAATATATTATCGGGTACCTTACCAAGTTCTATTTTCAACCCTCTCCTTAAATTATCGTCTGTAATATTAAACAACTTCACTTCCACATCGGTTATTATTTTTCTATCTATATCATAGTAGTGTACAAAAACATCTTCCTTGTTTGAGGCCGTGTTAACAAAGATCTGTACTTTAGTATTACACGAAACAAAGTGATAAGCTATTATAACAATGCAAACACGACACATTTTTGTTCAGAAATACTTATCTTTTATATGTAAAGATTGATAAAATAAGTATCAATAGAATACTATACTTAGCGTATATAAAATATGTATAAAAAGTATGCCGGGGCTTAATCTGAATGACAGGGTGAGAATGTGTTGTTTGCAAGATGATGTTGTGACTAGGATTAGGAAAGGAATCCTTCAGTAATTTGGTTGTAGAAAGAAAGAAGGAGTAAAGAGTGACAAAGCAAATTAATATTGCAGATGTGGGCTGAGAGTCATTAAGGCACATCTTAGATGAAATTTTATTGACCAAAGTGGCAAAACAAGGCAGATTAGAGGTACTAAACTAAGTACTAAACGAAAGTACTAAAGGAGGGGAGAGATGTGTGTCAGGATCGTACCAAATGGAAGTCCGTAGTCTCTGCCTACCTCTCTAGGTGACGGGCGTGAGAGTTTATTTTATTTTTTTTTATTTATTTAAAACTTACATGTAACACTTTAAGCTAAAGGGTACATAGGGCGGACCTAATGCCATGTGGCATTCTCTGCCAGTCAACCCTGGGTGCAAAGGACAATTGTTGCCAGGTGCGAACATAATACATAAAGTGTAATTAAGTAAACATACACACACATATATATATATATATGTAATGTTTCAAAAATATGTATATAGTATATAGTTTATTTCATAAATATTTGAAGTGTTGCCCTCAGGTAATGTTGTCGTAGAAGAACTTCGAAGAGTTTTTATTTGTAGCATTTTTAATATCATTAGGAAGGGTGTTTCAAAGTTTATGTATGTAATACGTACAATGCTGCTGGCCGTATGAGAACGCTTAAAGTCACTCAGCGAGCTATGGAGAGAGCTATGCTCGGGATTCTCTGCTGTGATAAACTTAGAAATAAGGATATCCGCAGTAGAACCAGACCAACGGTTTAGTAAGCTAAAGTGGCAATGGGCCGGCCATATAGCTCGAAGAACCGCCAACCAATGTGGAAAAATGTTCGGGAGTGGCAGCTTCGTACCAGTAGGCGCAGTGTAGGACGTCCCAACACTAAATTGAGTGACGACCCTGGTAAGACATGCAGGAAATCAATGGATGCAGGTGGCTCAGAACCGTGCTTTGTGTCATTCCTTGGGGGAGGCCTATGTTCAGCAGTGGACTTGTGAAGGGCTGTAATAATATTGATGACGTATAAAGCGTAACATCAATTAAGACATAACTCTTAATAAGCCCTATACACTTTCATAGATGGTATGACTCTATTTCGGCACAGGAGGCCATCTGCGTAGGTTGAGCCTAGTACCTATTTCTGTCACTGGCTGCCTCGTTGGTCCAGTGGTTGTAGTAGTGTGACTGCTGATCATGAGGCCCCGGGCAAAAACTATCAGTTATTGAGTTTTTCCATCAAGAAATTCTCAGTATCTGCCCGGAGTTAGTAAGTCGGCGGTGTCTCATCCCCGTGCCTCGTAAAGCACGTAAAGCCGTTGGTCCTGCGCCTGATCTCTCTCCGGTCGTGTCGGTTTATCATCCGATCGGATTATGCGAGTGAGGGAATAGGGAGTGCACCTGTGCTTGCGCATACACTTGGGCACTATAATCCTGTCCTGCGCCGATGGCTAGTCTTCGTGGCCGCCGTTTGTCACTTTTATTCTATAAAAAATTTGGCGTCGGTTGCTACGTAGAAAATTATACCGAAAAGCCGTTAACATCTTGAATAATTTTTTTTATTTACTTACTTTTTTAATTAGTGAATTCACTAACTTTTATGCGCAACGATTATGCGCAAACAAGCACAG